CCCCCCGCGCCCGGTCCCACCACTGCGGCAGCTGCTCAGCCCAGACCCTGTAGAGTAAAGGCAGATGTGAACTCATGGCAGCCACGCTGAGCCCCCCAGGGACCCCCCTTCTGAGCGCTGGCCCCCTCCGCCCCACACTATGCCCGCCCTGGCTGGGCGGTGACACAGGCTGTCTTCTCCTTCCAGCTCCGAAAGTCCACCCGGGAGGGAGAGGTCTCCAGCCCAAAGCAGGTGAGTCCGCTGGGGAAGGGTGAGGAGGGGGGAAAAGTGGGGTGCAATGTGGACCCCTGCACTGGGCAGCCTGGGAGAAGGGCGGATGAAAGCCCCAGGGCGTGACAAGCCCAATGGTGTGGGATGCCAAGCACTTGGGATGCCGGATCCACCCTTCTGGAAGCACCAACGTGCCAAGTGTGAAGCTTCGGAGTGATAAACATTGTGAGGAGCATGGGAGCTGCCAGGGAGAGCAGCTGGGCAGCCAGGCATGGACCCTACCCATGAGGGGTGCCCACCTGGCTCCTTTGCTCCATCTCATGCAGGATGAGGATATCTGGAGGCCAACGGAGAAATGGTGCAACCAGCTCTTCTGCAACGTGGTGCCCATGCTGCTTGGGGATGAGGAAGAGGAGCCGGGGGGTAGGCAGCACTTCGACTTGGACACCTTCCTCTCAGACATCTCTGACACCCTCTTCACCATGACACAGACACCCAGTGCCCACCAGGCACTCCCTGAGGATGGTAGGTGCCCCAGAGCATGCTCTAGCAGTATGTGGAGGAGGAGGTCCAGGCAGGCAGCACGCACCGTAGCACCTTGCTGCCTCTTGGCTTAGCCCCCGAGAGCTGCCGCCTGTGTCCTTTGGGCAGACAGGATCCCCTGGCGTCCCTCCTGCCGGAGTGAGAGCTCTGTTTGGGCAGGGCGGGAGCATCCTCTTCTCCGGTGGCTCCCTACGGACCAGCCCGGGCTGTCCCGGGTGGGTTGGGCTGAGCTGCCCAGGGAGTGCTAGCCCCATGAAGGACCTTGCACCAGACCCCAGGGCAGGGCTGCCAGCCCTGGGTAAGCAGCAGGCAGGTCCTGCCTTCCGTGGCCACTCTTTGCTGTCCCTGCCTGGCCAGGTCCCTGGAGCTCCTGCAGCACCAGGCAGGTCCTGTGCCAAGGATCAGCCTTTCCCTGGGATTCTTGGGCACTGGATGAGGTCCCAGAGGTGCTGGTGGGCAGGGTGGTGGGAACAGGATGGCCCTGGGTCTCCACAGGGTGGGCACGCATCTCCCTGCCCGTGCACGGCTGCAGGGCAGGGTGCAGCGACGCAGGGTGACTCTGGGGTGCCACGGAGGGGTGGCAGCTAGGCAGGTGTGAGGGCAGCGGTGGGAGGAACCCTGAAGGGGCGTCTTCGGGGTGCAGTGGCTGGGCCCCAGTGTTGCAGCTCTGCCCTCTTCCAGCGTACGTTGGGAATGCTGACATGATACAGCCGGACTTGGCACCTCTGCAGCCCAGCCTGGATGATATGGAGATCTCAGGTAAGAGCCAGCCCGGATGCGGTACCACACCCACACAGCCCAGCGTGCTCTGCACCCCATGGCAGCCCAAAATGGTGGGGTCAGAGGGTTGGCCAGGCAGCAGCAGGAGCTGCTGGGGCAGGCAGAAAGCGCCGGACATCCACTGGCATGGAAAAAGCAGCATGCATGGGCCAGGGTGCTGCGGCAGGCTGCAGGGCTTGGCATGCGTGCCCGCACCCGGGGCAGAGCCAC